ATTAAGGAGTAGAGAGCTCAGTATAATTTTTATCTTTCTGTGTGAGGCTGGGGCTGATGTTTTATACTAAGCCATTTCCATTCAAACCTAGTGCTTTACACTGTAGTTCATTCCTGTTAGAATAGCTTGTCTCATGTCCTAAAATAGTTGGCAAGTTTATGTAGCAACGTAACAAGAGTGCTGGGCTCCCTGGCTCCATACCATCACATTTGCTTGCACTACTTAGAAATGTACAGGTTACATCTGAAATACCTTATTGAGCCTTCACCAAAAGCCTTCCTGCAGCGACTCTTGCTGAGCATGTAATGATCTGAGCTAGTGGTGTTTCTTAGTTTGAACTAATTTTTAGATGCCTTCTGGATATTATATTTGTCCTGGGAAAAATCTGGGAAAACCTTTTACACAAGAGATCAATTCTTCCCTATTAGAAAAGTTAAGTTGAAAGTATGTCATATTCTCCCAGTACATACCATCAAAGGATGCATCTTCACAGGAGGCACAAAACACAGTGTTAGAGCACAGCTACCTGAAAGCTTGAGCTAAGGTAAGGGGAAATAATCACAAAGCACCTTTTTTAGATGCTGCTTTGGCACTTGCTGGAAAGCAAAGAAATGCCTTGTCTTGAAGAGCTGACATTTGAAGGGAATGTTTTATATTTGGTTGTTATTGGTTTTGTTGGGGTTTCTTTTATGGTCAAAAATTGTCATCCCCTGACCTGGTGATGGGTTTTCTATCTACCCACCACTGCTAGGGCACCTTCACCCTGCCTTGCTCACCTGCTGCTGTCTTCATGCTAGCAGCTCAAGTTTTCAAAAATGTTTGAGTAACTAGCTTGAAGTGTATTTTAAAGTGGCCTACAATTTAGGATGCTCTTGGAAAGTCAGACCTTTTCAATCTGGCAGACCCTGTTTGACTAAAGGACACCAATACCCCCTGGGACGGAATTGTGTGTCCGTCCCACCCCACCTCCTTTTTTAAAACTCTGCCACGCAAACCTCTCTGCTCCTTTCGCCTTGGTTCTCCATATTTCAGTCTGCAGCAGTGCCCCTTAAGCAATGTATCATCTAGGTAGGAACTTCTTCCTTGGATTATATTTGAGAGTACAATAACTTGGCTTGTGAGGGCCCTCTTATATCATTTTTACCCAAAACAAAGTGATGAATCTGAAGCACTTCTCAGTGTGAGTCATGCTTCACTTGAAAAGTAACAGCAACTTGAGAATAAAAATAATGTTGGGAAGAAAGAAACTGGTAGGTTACGTCCACAAACTGTCTGTCACCTGCAGTCAATGCTAGTTACATCTACTTTCCCCAAGGCATCTTCTGCCTACAATTAATGCAAAAGCTGCCTGCTCTGCAAATGTGACAACTGCTCTTGTGTTAAACATAGAGAATTTGGACTGACAAGACTTTGTTTTCCTGCTAACTCAGCAACGCAACAGGTACAGGTACCAAGCTCGTGGCTTGTTGTTTTCCATCACCAAGAGGCTTAGACATGTGGCCACATGCCTTCTGAAATGTGTCTGAGAAGCATCTATATAGTCCTTGAAATGCCAGAGAGAGGGGCTGCAGCACAAATAGCAAGGTGAGTTTGATTAGCTCACACAGTATTACTTCAGTGTTAAGGCCTTCACATGCAGAGTTGGTATTCTGATTTCAGCAGTAGCTAAAAATATATTTTTGCTTATTTCATTTATTTTATACTTTTATGTTTCATGTATGTTTATGATGGTTTTTTTAATTTTATTTCACACTGGGAAATACTGTAATGCTTTCAAGACTTCTTGGCTAATAAATAAATATCATGAAAATTAAGTGAAAAATATTGGTTTCTTCTGTGAGTTTATTTGATTTTTATTAGTAATGCTAGCTGAAGTGCAGTCATTAGGATACTTACATGCATATGTTGAATATAAAGCAGGTGTATGGGACAGGACTTCGGAAAGTACTTAGCATTTGTCCAGTTGTGTGTGTTAATATGAATAGCAAAGCTTTTGACTTCTACAGGAGCAGAGTTTGGCTGCTGTTAGGTGCTTTTTTTTTTTTATAATCCTTTAAAAGAGGATGGAAACAATTTCATATTAGCAGTTCTCAGATGCATCAAAATGGCTAGTCTTTAGGACCTTTTTTGTCCCTGATCTCCTTGCTGAGAGCACTAATTTCTGTCAGAGTTTATGTGCCTTCCCGTCTGTTTGGATCTGCTTTAAAATCATCAATGTATTAATAAAGACTTGATAAAAATCTTCATTATTTTACAGAACCTTACACTTATTTAGTGTTTTGCTGTACAGAAAAACAAGGGTCTTATACTGAAGAGCTCAGAGCCTAAGCAGATGCAATGGCAACAAGTGGAGATGACAAAGTAAAATGCCAAAGCTAAGTAATGAGAGAAGTGGATAGCAGTGATTTACTAAGACAATTGGTCAAAACATGTGCCTGTCAAATTAGTCTACATATTTAATGAAGAAAAACCCTATAGATGCATATATGATTGACGTCCTTCATGGACTGATTTTCAGGAGATTAGTGGAGAAGAAATCACAAAGTCAAGAAACAGCTGAGGAGGAATGGATGATGAGAGAGAAATGCAAGCGTGTTTACAGGACGGGTGAGCTGAGCACCATGAGCAGAGAGGAGGAAGACCAGGGGACAGTGCGCATCAAGGCCAGAAAAGAGGCAGTCACACAACTCTGGTCTGAAGAGACTGGTGCTGCAAAACCTGACACGCTGAAAATGGCCAGACTGATTGTACCCAGTTATCTCCTTTATGCAAACTTCACTGTGGATATTTTTGCTAAGATAGTATTTGTTGCCTGATTTTATTGTTCTCCAAAGTAGCTATTGCTGTCACCAGATGGATAACTCAGTCGAGGTCAGAAAATATTCACGGGGAAGCTCTGCTTGTGATTATTGCTTTTGCTGCAGCAAATGAACACTCGCTAAAATTCCTTTTCTGATGTCTATGTATTGATGTGACTTGATGATGTCTGACTGACCTTTGCCCTGCTCTGTGATTATGTTGCTGATATCACTGATTATTTTTTTACTAAATATCATCTTGCCCAGGGGCTGTGGCTGAGGAGCCTGAGTTGTCTGAATGGACGCCTCTCAACCTCAAAATTTATTCCCGGAGCCTCAGAAAAGCATAAATTAGAAAATGCAGTGCATAGCTCCTGACTCCCAGCCCTTGCCTGAATATTAAGGGCTAGTCATTTAGAAAATTGTGAGTAGTTTTAGATTTGCTTGCTCTTTGTTTTGCTGGCACAATCTTCTGATAGAGTATCTGCATGCTTTAACTTACATCTTCCCAAGACACCCTTCTTAAGCAAAAAAAACAAAAAAAACCAAAAAAAACCCCAAAACTGTTATCATTACACAGATGGGAAATTAATGGGTATAAAAAAACCCCAGCATTTTGTCAAGATTCACACAGGAAATCTGTGATCAAGTATTACACTGAAAACACATCACTGTAAGTTTAGTGACCAGATGTGGAAGTCAGTTTTCTTTGTAAAGTATCTTCTTGCAATCTGCTCTGTTAGTTGCTACTAGACTCAGCAGGTGCTTGTAAACCTCAGTTTTTGGATTTGAGTAGACCAGAATAGTAGAATTAATTATTTTATGTATTCCAGTAAGCTCTAGGCACTAATGTCAACTCTTACTGGTTTTTCAGTATATAACACTATACTGATGGATATGGGAAAAGAGACTTAAAGCTTTTTGAGCGTTCCAGTGGAGCACTTTATACACTTATTTGCCTTAAAATGTTTTTGCATCACAATTTGTAATTAAAGTCTCCAGTCTGCTATTAAAAGTTAGCAGTGTAGAATCAGATAAATTATTAAGATGCCTTACATTTACTGCTCTATCATACAGAAATCTTTAAGCTGAACAAAAATTTTGCCAAATTGAATTCTCAAGGAGGTAAAATTCACAGTTTCTTGCTAACATTGTGACAAAACTAATTTTTCACCTTCTGCTCAATTACTCGTTTAGATATTTTGTCTTTTCTTAGATCCCTCTATTTGCCATAAAATTTTCTTAAGAGTTTCATTTTGTGAACAGGCATTCTGTTAAATACATAAGTGGATTCAATGAAATATAGTTGCACTTTGAGCAGACTTTTCTGCCTTCTCCGTAGTTCTAAAACCTGTCTGTTTTGATCTTTTAGATACTGACCATAGCTGACTTGGTTGTTCAAGCTAATATTTACCTGGCAGATATTCATTGTCCATGGCTGAGGCAGGTGTAGCACTGAAGCTTTAGCCTTACAATGTTTTCTTTCAGAAAAATGGCTAATCTATTTCATTAAAGAAACATGGGAGGGTATAGAGACTCTTAGAGTAGGTATTTGACCAGAGAGGAAAACAAACTTTAGAACTTTAAATCTATTCTTAAACAGACTGTGTGTTCACATGTATTTTAGAGGGAGAAGAGGATGTGGTTCTATCAACCAAAAGTTATATTTCAATAATCTTTAATACTTTCAGTTCAATTTCCACTTTCTTTTTACTTTTGTGTTGCCAATCTCTTAATTGGTTTTCACTTTAGGACTGGAAAATTAGATATATACCTTTAAGTAAAAAAATGTGCACAGACACTGGTTCAACCATCCAGGATGTTCCTGGATTGCATTGATGGCAAATTCCTCCTCCAAATAGTAAAGGAACTAACAAGAAGAGATGCTATGCTGGACCTTGTTCTCACCAACAGGGAAGGGCTGGTGAGCAACATGAGGCTCAGGGATAGCCTTGGCTGCAGTGACCGTGAAGCGATAGAATTCAAGATCCTCAGGGCAACTAGAAGGGTATATTCCAAGCTTATGACCCTGGACTTCAGGCACACAGGCTTCAATTGCTTCAGGGATCTGAAGGCCAAAGTGCCTTGGGACAAAGCCCTAGAGGGAAGGGGTCAGTATTCAAGGATTACCTTATTCGTGTCCAAAAGCAAAGTATACCAACAAAGAGGAAGGCAGGAAAGAGTAATAGGAGACCTGCCTGGATGAGCAAGGAGGTTCTGGACACACTGTCATACAAAAAGAAAATTTACAAGGAGTGGAAGATAGGACGGCTAGAGCAGGGGGCGTATAAGGAAGCTGCCCGAGCAGCAAGACACAAGGTTAGAAAAGCGAAAGTTCATTTAGAATTAAATCTAGCCAGGGAGATCAAGGGAAACAGCAAAGGTTTCTACAGGTATATTAATGGTAAGAAAACGATCAGGGAAGGTCTGGGACCCCTCAAAAAGGAAAAGGGTGAACTGATGAAAAGTGATTTGGAGAAGGCCGAGGTTCTCAATAACTTCTTTTCCTCTGTCCTCACTCACAAGGGCTTCAGCCACACTCCTGAAGTCACAGAAGAAAACGGCAGGGGTTGGACAAATGAACTGCCCATTGTAACTGAAGATCAGGTTCGCGACCATCTGATGAACCTGAAAGTGTGCAAGTCCATGGGACCCAAAGGGGTACACCCACAGGTACTGGTGGATGAGATTGCTAAACCTCTCTCTATTACATTCCAAAAGTCATGGCAGTCCGGTGAAGTCTGCATTGACTGGAAAAGGGGAAACATAATCCCCATTTTCAAAAAGGGAAAGAAGGATGAACCGGGTAACTATAGGCCAGTCAGTGTCACCTCCGTGCCTAGTAAGATCATGGAGCAGATCCTCCTTGAGGCACTGCTGAGGCAGAAGAATAACGAAGAAGTGATTGAGTACAGTCAGCATGACTTCACCAAGGGCAAATCATGCCTGACAAACCTGGTGGCCTTCTATGAGAAGGTCACAACATCAATAGACAAGGGAAGAGCAACTGACGTCATTTACTTGGACCTGATCAAAGCCTTTGACGCTGTCCCGCATGACATCCTGGTCTCCAAGCTGATAAAATACGGGTTTGATGGATGGACAATTCACTGGATAAAGAACTGGCTTGATAGCTGCACCCAAAGAGTGGCTGTCAATGGGTCCATGTCCAAGTGGAAGCCAGTGACAAGTGGAGTCCCTCAAGGATCAGTACTGGGACCAGTCTTAACATCTTCATCAGTGACATTCAGTGAGTTTGTTGATGACACGAAGTTGTGTGACACGCTGGAAGGTTAAGGATGCCATCCAGAGGGACCTTGACAAGCTAGAGAGGTGGGCCCAGGCCAACCTCATGAAGGTCACAACACCAAGTGCAAGGGCCTCCATGTGGGTCTGGGCAATCCCAAGCACCAATATAGGCTGGGCAGTGACTGGCTTGAGAGCAGCCCTGAAGAAAAGGACTTGGGGGTACTGATGGGCAAGGAGCTCAACATGAGCCGTCAGCATGCACTTGCAGCCCAGAAAGCCAGTCGTGTCCTGGGCTGCATCAAGAGGTACATGGCCAACAGGTTGAGGGAGGTGATTCTTCCCCTCTACTCTCATGAGACCTCACCTGGAGTACTGTGTCCAGTTCTGGAGCCCCCACTACAAGAAAGATATGGATGTGCTGGAGCATATCCAGAGAAGGGCCATGAGGATGATTAGAGGGCTGGAGCACCTCTTCTGTGAAGACAGACTGAGAGAGTTGAGGCTGTTCAGTCTGCAGAAAAGAAGGCTCCGAGGAGACCTTATTGTGGCCTTCCAGTATCTCAAG